TAAAATTGAATTGAGTAGCTTATAGTGGTTTTCGTCATCAAAATAACAGGAATATTTTACATTTGGGGTTATATATTCTTTTATGAAATTTATTAAATCATTTTCTGTGTATTCAGATGAAATTTAAGTAGTAATGCGTTGTTTACTGTTATTAAATAAACGTGTTATAATAGATTTTGGACAGGTTTTAACTGAGATTAAATGAATTTGATTTGTGCCTAAATTTAAACTATCTTCTTAAATCGGAATGTTACAAACAGGGAATTCTAGGCTAGTATTGTAAAGATTTCTCTTTACCCCCAGGTTCGTTAAAACAAGTTTTATGAAAAATTGATAAATTAAATATTTTGTGGCTTTGGCTGGTGATCGTCTTACCCAAATTTGGACCTCTACGCTGTGTTTACTTACTTGTTTTATTATATGCATTGCTTTAAGAATGATACGTGGGAGAATTAGGTTTATAAGAAATAAAATACAGTGGCTTAGTTAAACCCCAATTTAATTTAAGTTAACTTTTTACAAACAAGCAAGGGGTGGCTCTTAGGACAAAGGCCCACGCACACAAACAAAGAGTACTCAAAGTTGGACAATAACGGTCAGCACTCCTGGTTAAGCACCGAGTAATTTCGCAATACATCAATAACTTTGGACTGATCATAAAACAATGCTTAACCACGTTATAGAAAAGGGTACAAAATGATGGTTTAAGCACAAACAAAATACAAGGTTACATTTGAGCGGTACAAGCATTAAGCATAGCAAATTATTAAAATTATAGTGATAATAATAAAAGCGAGAATGGGGGTGGTAAATTACGCTAAACGTAATAATAAAGGATAAATGTACTCATAATAGCAATAATCATATAATAATAATATTAACAATTTGAAAATGCACAATATTACGTTTAATTAATTTTACTACACATTTAAATAGATTAAATATTTAGAACTAACCTTGTAGAATACACTAAAAACACTTTTAACAATGATTTTAGAACAATAATTTACTTTTACAATTTTACCAAAGAAAACGAACTGTACTGCACAAAATTCAAAACGCTTCTGCCTCATTTCTCCTTTCCAAAAACCTTCTTCGTTTACCTCTAGTGGAAATTCCTCGCCCAATGTGTATGCCAGATGTACTCTTCCTCCAGCTTAGCGCATACCTCTCTTGTTTGTTTGGCAAATTTTCTACCTAAATTTAAAATTTATCTTGCCTTAAAAATAAAGTTTTATTACTTAATCCTATTTTAAAATTTGAAAAATAAAATATATCATAACACGTATTCTAATAAATTTATACAGGGTATTTCTTTTTCAGAACCATTACAGTATGAACAGTCATATTGTCATCGTCTAATATTTGTTCGTTATCGTCAGGTGGTTCTGCTATAATGGAAATGTTGTCAACAGAGATATTTTGTCCATGTACTGAAATATAGGATTTTTTGGAGGGTCGGTTTTTTGGGTTTTATTGGATCTTGTTTCCATGACATTAAAATTTTTTGGGGGACGTAAGAGAGCATCGGCGTTACTATTTAATTTGCCTTTTTTATATAGAATTTTAAAGTCGTACTCTTCTAATCGTAATCGCCATCTGTTTAATTTAGAATTTGGTTCTTTAAGCTGAAAAAGCCAGGTTTATGATCGGTCAATATTTTAAATTTTCTGCCGTATAAATACCGACGGAAGTATTTAGTAGCCCACACGATGGAGCTTTTTCTATTACGCTGTAGTTAAGTTCATGTTCCTTTAATGTTCGAGAAGCATATGCGCAAGGAAGGTCCGATCCGATTGGTCCTTGGCTTAAAACGGCACCAATTGCATAATTTGATGCATCGGTCAAAATTTGGGTATTTAAGGATTGGCTAATTACATGAAAGACGTTTGCATGTATTAAAACAATTTTTGTACGCGAAATCATTGATGTTGATAGAGGCATCTTTTTTTAACTAGTTAAAGGTTTGGTTATTTTCGCGAAATCCTTTTTAAATTTACGGTAGTACTCTAATAGGCCTAAAAATCCTGTTTGGGGGTTTTTGGAATTGGGTATTCAGTTATTGCTCTTATCTTATCAGGGTTTCGTTGATTGATTTTAAAGTTAAATTCGCGTAGACGCTCAAACACTAACTTAAGTCTATGGATAGATAAAAATTATTATATCGTCTAAGTAAACGAAACAGGCTTATCTTCGTATCGTTTATCGTTAGATCTCTTGTATAATAACCCGTCGATATCTAGGTAATAATTATTACCTTTACCTGTAATTAATGCCTTAAAAACTGATTTAAGGCTCGGATCTGTCTCTTGCAGTTTCTTAACTTCTTCGCGACTCCACATTGGGTCCCATATCTCTCTAGTATTTAGTAGCCTAACCGACCTTATTCTGGACAACGCGTCGAATGATTTTTTTCTGGACGATAAACAACTTTAAAACTATACTCGGACAATGAGAACGACCAACGTATTAGTCTATTGCTTGGGTCCTTAACAGACATTAAGCATTTAAGTGGTTGATGATCACTGTAAACAATGAAATCATTACCATATAAATAAAATCTGTATTGTTTAATTCCCCAAATTAAAGCTAAGCATTCGCGCTCGGTGGTGAAATAGATACTTTCTGTCTACTGTCTACTACCATAAGCGATTGGAAGTTCTTTACCATTGTGAATTTAGCATAATATAGCTCCTAATGCATATGAAGAAGCATCTGTTAGGAGAATAAATTGTTTATTTAGATCGGGGTATTTGAGAATTGGTTCCCTAAGAAGACAGTTTTTTAGTGACTCGTAAGAAGACTGACACTTATCTGACCAATGAAATTTTACCTTATTTTTTGTTAATTGGGTTAAGGGATAAGCAATTGCGAAAAAATTTTCGACAAACCTCCTATAATAACCTGTTATATCTAGGAAAGATTGGATTTCGGTTACATTTTTGGGGACTGGAACATTTTTTATAGCAGAAATTTTACCTGGATCGGGCTTAACTCCGTGTATAGAAATAATGTGCCCAAGATATTTAACTTCCTCCTTAAGAAACTCACACTTTTGGTTATTTAAAGTTAACCCATACTCTCTCAGACGATCAAAAATCATTCGAAGTTTATTTATGTGTTCTTCAGGATTATTTTTCGAAAAAACAATGATGTCATCTAGGTACACAAAACAATGAACCCCTGTTAATCCTGTTAGTACTGAATACATTAACCTTTGCCAAGTGGAGGGTGCGTTTACAAGACCAAACGGCATTCTATTACACTCATACGGTACGGAAAACGCTGTTTTTTCTCTGTCTTTGGGATGCACTTCTACCTGCCAATAACCTGATTTTAAATCTAATTTACTAAATAGTTCGGCCCCGCCTAGCGAATCTATTGTTTCATGTATGTTTGGAATTGGAAAATAATCCCTTTTAGTTACTGCTCCTGTCTCTGTTTTCTTTTCTATCAATACTACAGGAGCACTCCATGGGTTCGAACTCGGACGAATTATCTCGTCTTTTAACATCGAGTTAATTATTTCCTCCATAATTTTCTTTTGTGCTACTGGTACTCTGTAGGGTGCTTTTCTTATCGGACCATAAGACTCTAACATCTAGATTTCATGTCTCACTCCATGTGTGTCGACCTGACACGGCAAAAATGTTTTTATATTCTTTTAATAATTCACTTAATCCTAAAATATACAACTCCCTACTGCTAGAAACTCTAACCACGTATTCCTTGTCCGCTTTTTCTTTATTTCTCTCTTTATTCTCTTTCGGGCTGTGACCGATCGGCAATTTGTTATTCTTCTTTATAATATACTCTTCACAAACACACCTAGTCGAAAGTGTCATTTTTATAATTGGGGTATTTTTCTTAATTAACTGCGGTATTGGGGAAACATTTAGAATTCTAACCACAATTTCTCTATTGTCATTGTTTAATGGATTTGGTAAATTAACTATTGTTTGCTCAGTAAAAATTCCTGAGGCTATGTTTTTGATTGGTTCACAAATCATTGTGCCAGAGGGTAAGCGCTTACTTACTCTAACACTGACATTGCAACCATGGTTAATTTTCAGTTAATCTGACTACATTTGGTTGCTTGGAGCTAAAACCATTTGTATTGGTTTTAGGATTAATCAGATCCGTACCATTGTCTATTTCCTGAAATTGAACTTTCTTTATTATCCTTTGGTTGTAGTTAGATTCTTTTGGGCTATTTATAATCAAATTTTCTATTGCTGACACTCCAGAAAAACTTTTAAGTCAGTTTACATCCTGCCCTCCGAGCCGACTGCCTACACGTCTGCAGTTTTATTTCTTCTGCTGAATTACTTTTAACAGTAACCATTCGATCTAACCGTGCTGTGTCTAGCAGAGGTAAATCAGATCCACATATCATTAGCCTGCCACTTGCAAAGCAAATTTGAGGCGTGTTTAACTCCAAAAGATCCATTCCTATTAAACCATCTGTGGGGAAATTTAAGTTGTCATCGCATATAATAAAAGTGTGGTTTATTTCCTTACGGCCCATTTTGTGTAACTTTAGCTTTACTTTGCAACTACCCGTTTTATTTAATTGTCTCCCAGAAATATCGGTGATTATATGGTTGTCGTCTTGTATAGGTAAATTGAGATTAGCAACAATCCCGGCTTTAATTAGACTTATACTTGCTCCCGTGTCTAAAAGCCACGTCGATTGTTGTTTATTAATGTACAATACAATGTATTTGGAATTTTCTGGGATTAATTTTAAAATCGTTAGTGTTATCTTCTTATTGTCAACGAGGCTAAGGTCCAGTTTAAAGAGCAATTATCGAACAGGTGCCTACGGCTACCACAGTTAAAACAAAATCTTATTTTATTGCTTCTTCACTGATTTCTCCAATGTCCATAAATACCGCATTTTATACACCTGTTAGTCGTGTATTTAAATTTTGGGGCTATTATGTTCAAAATTCGCTCGTTGGAAATTCCTTTCGTAAACAAAATCCCGGTCTCTCCTGTCATATCCCGGATTCCACTTGCAACACCACGATCGAAATTATTTCTATCATAACCGCGATTGTTCCTATCGTAACTACGATCAAGGCCGCCCCTGCTGTTGCTACGGTCGCGGGCATACCTTTCTTGGCTTCGATCTCGGCCGCTTCTCTCGCGACTCCTATTACGCTCGTTGCTCCCATAACTTTGATCACGACTGCTATATCTATCAAAGCGGGTATTTCTGTCATAACCGTGCTCTCTACTATCACGCCTACGATTGTGATTATAATTATCGTCCTCTTCGCTATTGTAGTTACGGCGATTTTTGTTGTACCTTGCAATTTCCCTACAGTCTTTATTATTAGTTGAATCCTTTGTTTCAATATTATTTCCTGTGCAATTCTCCTTGTCTACGAGTAATGCTCGTATTGTACCTACCTCGTCCAGATCCTCTGGCTGGCTAAGTTTTAGCCTATCTACAATGTTTTCTTTCCTTTGTGCTACTCCAAGGGCGTCTTCTAGCTTAAGAAAAACACCCACCGCTAAAATCTTGTTGGTTAAACGTGTGTCTAACCCGTTTACAAATTGTTCTGCAATTAGTGCATCTCTGTAAATTCTCTGTTCGTTTGTGATTTCCTTAGGAAAGATATTATTGGCTGTCATTTTTAACCTTTGTGCGAACGCACCTAGGGTTTCGTCCGGTTTTCTTTTAGAAGTTGCAAGCTCCATCTTGGCTTTTTGAAAATTAGTCCTTTTACCGAACACGCTCTTTAACCATTTTCTTATACCTTCTACCAATGCTGGTTTGTCATCGTCCCTAAGCGCAAAATAGTACGATTTTGCTGTATCTTTTAATTTATATTCCATAGCTCTTATAATTTCCTTGTCTGACCAGTTAATTTGTTCGCCTATTTGTTTCATTGTATTAACAAAGTGGTCGTAATCTGGTCAATCTTTATATTCGTCCACCAAACTCAAAGTTGAACCTAGTGTTAGTTTTTGAACTATATATAAAAGATGGTCCATATTCACATTATTTGGCAGATTACCTTGACTGTAGTGCTGAATTAAATTTGAATTCGTTGAATTTAAATCTACAGATGGTTCTTGGTTTCCTGTATTATTCATCTTGAATATATTAATATATTATTAATTAATGAGTAATTACCAAACAAAACTAACGAATTGGTTTAATGAAAGAAAAATTCAAGGAGATAACCAAATTATGGGACAACAGCTATAAATTAAAATTATCGCGTTTATGGAAATATTTCGGTGAAGATATAAAACGACCTAATTGGCACAAGAAATAATATTTCTGTCTAGTGGTCCCTGTGCGACCCACTCGCGTCACAGGACTCCGTTGTGTACGACTTTTTTGCGGCGAAAATCGAGATCCAAATCCAATTAACGAAGCACCACGTAATTAGATTTCTTTTCTACACTTTTTTATCCTACTATTTGGGAGACGTATATGTTTTAACTAAAAGATGGATTACCAGTACAATCCAAGTACCTTAAATACAAAAAAAAACATTTTTACCTAACAACCTATACCTATACTTATACTTAATTAGGGAGACAGACAAACTAATACTAAAATGTACAAAGTCAAATGCTAAAAAATAAAAATTATTGGATTTATTAAACCCGTAATAAAATAAACCAATTAATTCCTGAAACAGACAGATTTCTCAAGGTTATACACAAATTTTATAATATTCGTTTTACACCCGTCAGGTCCCCTGCTGCACCTGCAATAAAATTACAATCATGAGTTAATGCAAATAATTCCAATAAATTATCTAATTTCTTAAACAGTTTGTTGAAATTGATTTACAAAAATATTAACGACAAAAATTATTGAGTGACTTAATTATTTGCCGGAGAATTATCTATAATTTATTCGCATTTGTTAATTTGAGTCCCTTTTTTTGTCATAAGATTACGTATTTTAACTAATTTAAAGTCAGGTACTTATATGATTATAATCAGAATAATAATTATTATTCTTATAATAGACTCTCTTACACGCTTCTCTTTAATCTCTTCTCTATAACTAAAGTACCTGCTTTTTCGACAAATTTTATTACTTTATTTAAGACGGTATGGTATCTCAAAATAAGAATGAATAAACTTATTTATTAAGTAAATCAGCCCTTATTATGAGAATTTAGAACTACGTAAACTATGCACTTGTACCAGGTGTCTCTATTTAAGCTATTTTATTAATATGTTTACATGTATGAAAAAACTAACATTAATATTTAATTCCATAAACACCTATATACAATTAAATAATTAATGCAAGAGAAATTAGTTTTAAAAATTTAGGAGACACACCTGACACCAGTTTGTAACGGGAGTTTTTTGTGTCGCGTGCTATGTGTTTGCTATACTTTTACTTCTTATTCCTTGGTTGGCCTACGGGAGCTCTTGGGTGTATGGAACCCGTTACAAATTACTAATCTAATCTGACCTTTTAATCCGGTGAAGATTTTCGCGGCTTCGGCTGGATGATGTCGGTGGGACGAGTATGAGGCGAAGTATTCCGATATGTATATTAACACACTTAACACACTCGCGTCAAATCGCGCCGAAATCTTCACACACGATTACCGTTCACTATATACTTACTTTCGACTTAACTTTCAGGGCTATTTCTTATAATACAGACAGAGCAATAAAGCGATATTTCAAACCATATAAATATATTAACAAACAAAGAGTTAACAATTAAAAATGAAAGGATATAAACAAGTAAAATTAAGTTACGTTAAATGAAAAATAGATAATTAAAGTTACTCCATACATTTAATTTACAAGAACTAGTTTACAAACAAATTAGAACTCTAGATTAAGAAATTTAACTAAAAGTAAACTAAAAGAAAATGTAACAAATAATTAAACTAAGCAAATGCGTAGTACGATTTCCTCTATAGAGTAAGTAACTATAATTAAACAAAACTATTCGGAGTGAATCTAATCTAAACAAATTGGTTGGAAAGCGCGATAAAATTTAGATAAGAACTGGCGAGTCAAAGGTTGTGTTGGTTTTATATAGACTATTTTAAGGAAAAATTAGAAGGGATTAATTCTTAAAGACCATTGGTCAGAATCATGGTAACTCCCCCCCCCCGCAAGGGTCATAGAAAATTGACTGGTTCAAAAGATCATAAACTCTCATACAAACCGAAAAGGACGAAAGGTTATTGGCTTTAAGCTAAGCGGTTAAATAATTCTTAAGGGAGGAGGCGTTAACCTTTGACTTAAGTCGGAAACTTGGCTACTTGAAAGTTCGGGAACAAACAAGGTGGGAATTTTACTAGGCATTGGGCGGAGTTTCTGCCATTGTCGCCAACTTCAAGATATACTATAATTTACTAGATTTGATAACTAAGGATGCTTTGAAAGTAACAAGGGTTGCCTAATGATTTAATCCATTATTTTTATATCTGGTTATTAATTCGTATTAACTGAGTTTGATTTTATTGGGCATTTCTTTGGTTCAAACCATCCTTATGAGCTTTATCCATCTACACTACACTACACTACAATTTACATTGGCTGATCGAGACTTATCTTTTAATAAGCAGCCGGGCTTACATATTTACAATTCAATCTACCTAATCTTACGTCTTATTTCTAGTCTATAATCTCCCATTTCTAATCTATAATCTCTATTTTTCTAGGTTTAGTTGTCAACTGAATCAATTCGTTACTTTCTTTTAATTATATTAATTTTATTATATTTTTGACGCGTAGGATCTATAGGAAATCCTGGGTATTTTCTCTTATTGTGTTATAAACTGCGACTTGGTTTTGGATTTGAATTAAAGTTAATTATTATAATATTTTGTGTTTTATTCTCGATGTTGATTGTATAACAATTTTTTTAAGACTATTACGTGTGCACCTATTACATAAAATTTTACATTGGAGGGGAATGCGTACATGCGCTCTTCAACAAAGTACAAACTTATATATTTTACATTAATTGAAACGCTTAACATACCGCCCACCTTGAAACAGGCCGGTGTTTCAATTAAATGAATAAACCTATTAAAACAAAAAAAACAATAAATGATAATATACTTTACATTAAATTTTGAAATTAACTAAATAAAAGATTTAAATAGTAGGAATTTATCCAGTGAACTAACACAATGTGTCTGACACATACGCATGTCCTGTGTTGCGCATATAATAGCTGTCAGATAATTTGACGTTATAAACAAAAAAAAAATGTTCAAAAAACTGTTTAAAATAAAAATGAAAGAGAAACAACGAATTATGTTCTGTGAATTATTCTACACCACATTATCGTCACAGGTAGGTAAAACTGAAATTCTATGTATTGCACGCTTAACTTCACCAGGATAAAGCGCAGTAATTCGACCAAGCTTCCATTGCTGAGGGGCCGTGTTGTCATCGTTGAGAAGCACAAGAGCGCCTGGAGCCAACTGAGACGAATTTGATGTTTGCCACTTGTTACGCTGCTGCAAAGTATGTAAGTATTCCCTTGCCCATCGTTGCCAAAAGTGTTGAACCATTTGTTGTAGTTGCTTATAATGGGAAAGTCTGTTCAATGCTGTTTTTTCAACTTTCAGTTGTGGTAATGAGGTTAACTTGTCTCCGATCAAAAAATGTCCAGGTGTTAAAGGAACCAAATCATTGGGATCATTGGAGCAAGGAAACAAAGGTCGGGATTTAAGAATTGCTTCAATTTGTGTTACAATTGTGCAAAGGCCTTCAAATGTTAGTTTTGCACTGCCAATTACACGAAATAAATGTGATTTTGCTGATTTAAAAGCAGCCTCGGCTAAACCATTAAAATGGGGGCTTTTGGCTGGTATGAAGTGCCACGTTATCTTGTTTTACAAAATAAAGTCATCAAAACCACTTATTTGATAAATATCATGCAAAATGTTATTTGCCCCTGTAAAATTTGTGCCATTATCGCCCCAGATGTGTTCAGGAAGCCCACGTTTGGAGACAAAACGCCTTAACACGTTTAAAAAGGACTCTGAAGTTAAATCGACAGCCACTTCAATGTGTGCTGCCTTTGTCATGAAACATACAAAAATGCATAAATATGACTTAACGAATGATTTGTTTCTAAAGGCAGAATTTTTAATTAAAATTGGGCCTACATAATCCACACTACAACTAGTAAAGGGTCTAGCTGGTGTGACTCTTTTCGAAGGTAAATTGCCCATTTGTGGAAAAATGCTGGAGGTTTTGTATCTAAAACATGTTACACATTTTCTTAAAACTTGCCTAACTGCTGATTTGCCATTTAACGGCCAAAATTCCTGTCTAATTGCTGATAAAACATATTGTGACCCTGCATGCATGTTTTTAAGATGCTCATTGCGAATAATCAACTTTGTAAACTTATGATTACTAGGCAAAACTACTGGATGTATCTGTTCATATGATAAATTTGAATTTTTTAGTCTGCCTCCAACTATAATTAGACCATCAGAATCTAAAAATGGGGATAATGAGATTAATTTACTGCCCCTTGCAACACTAACTGAATGTTTAAGAGAATTCAACTAGTTACTAAACTCTGAATTTTGTACAAGTCTTGATAGAATTATTTTTGAGTTTTTAATTTCTGCATTTGTTAATTTGTTTTTTAGTCTAGAATCCTTATTTTTATTTTGAAAGTTATGAATAAAACGTGAAATGTATGCCATAACCCTTAAAAGTTTTATAAGTGAGGAATATCTATAAAAAATAAAATCCTCTGTGATTTGTAAATTAAAACATTTAATTGATTTTTTTCTGGAATTTCAAGTACTGTATTTTGTATATTAACCTTTAAATTCCAATATTCACGATTGAGCATTAAAAAGGTTGGCCCATGCCACCATAGGCGTGAATCAATAAGCTCACTTATTTTAGCTGTTCTA